TCTCCCTCCCTCCCTCTGCCACCCCTGTTCTCTTTCTCAATTGAGCATTTTCTTCCCATTTCCCAATATCTATCATATATTTTGGTCCTTATTTACACCTTTGGTTTCTCATACCAGAGACACAATGTGGTATTTAAACACGTGCATTCAATTTATTTCACTTTCGAGTATAGTCTCAAGATGTATTCATTTAGCTAAAATGTCCCAAGCTTATCCTTCTTTATGGCAGAGTAATACTCCACTGCATAAAAAAGCACATCTTTTTTACCCACTCATCATGATTGGCATTTGGGTTGTGTCCAAGATTTAGCTATAAACTGTACATATATATGGTGCATATATATTGCTATGGTGTGATGCTTTTAATTGTTTTGGGAAAAACTGAGAAGGGGAATAGCTCAGTAAAATGGAACCTCTAGTTTGTTTTCTGAGTAATCTCCACACTGATTTCCACAGTGGTTGCACCAGTCTACACTCCCACCAACAGTAGAGAAGGGTTCCTTTCTCCCCACTGCCCCTTCAGCATTTGTTATTGGTTGATTTCTTGGTGAAAGTTATTCTTTCTGGAGTGAGATGGAATCTCAGTACTGTTTTAATTTGCATCTCTCGAATGACCAGTGACCCTGAACATTTTTTCATGTATTTATTTGCCGTTTCTACTTTTTCATCAGAGAAGAATTTGTTCATTTCAGATGCCCGTTTTTGGATTGGCCTTTAAGGTGCTAGATCTGTAGTCTGATTGGTTCTTAAACCTTCAGAGACCTTCTTCCTCCAGGTCCCCTTTTGCTGAACCTTCTCTTTCCTCCTTGACTAAAAGAGGAAGCGGGGAGATCTCAGGGCTCAGGGCAGGCAGGGCAGGGAACTGCTTCTGTGGGCTCCTCTCAGACCCCAGGCCCTGCCTAGTGTGCATTACTCCCCTGAATTGATCCTTATTCTGCAGCTAACATCCTGTGAGCCCCAGGCCACCACAATTTGAGGACAGCCCTTCCCAGGGTGACTGGTGGTGTCATGAGCCCCTCTGCCACAGAGGCCCCCTCTTTGCTTGTTAACCTTTAAGTGATGAAAGATTTAAGGAAGCAGAAGTTATTTGAGTAGGTTTCCTACTGCATGTTTTTCCTCTTGTTGGGGTCAGGGATTCGTGCAAACCAGGGAGCCTGAGACATTCCCAGGCACTGGACAAAGAGATGGCAGATGGCCATGGACCACAAGCCCCCCGGTTACAGGACACCCAACCTGGCAGGGGAACCCCCACCAATGACCCAGGTGAGTGCCAAGTTGCTCATAAGCCTGGGTGAGGGCAACAAATCTTTCAGGAAGCTGCTTGGGAATGCTTTATGGCACTGAGGGTTACACCACTCTAGCTGAACAAATGGAAAAATTAGTCTACCCTAAAATATCCAAGGCAAGTAATTTCCTGTCACCTTGTTTCTTAAATGTGCTTAACATCTAGAAGTTGGGTTTCCCAAAATATGGCTAAGGGTCAGTAGTTAAAATGGCCACTCAGAGATAAAAATCTTCCACTTTAATGAGCATTCATAAATTGATGCCCTCAGCCCCTCTGTTTGGCGCCTGAGTTGGAACTGAACCACGAGGTGCAGTGTGCTAGAACTGAACGGTTTGAAGCAGCCACCGAGCAGGACACTGGGCCTCTGTCCACCAAGGAGTCTCAGCCCCTGCCTGCTGTTCTCGGCGGGGATGCCCCAGGCTGCTCATCGTGGGCTGCTTTTATTTCCCCCCTGTTAGAACAGTTTGCCTTCCTAGTTCCTTTCTCCAAATTTCTAACTATTAAAGCAAGCTGCTGCTGCTGCTGAACAGAATGACAGTCAGACCATTTTTTTCATAGTCATCTTTCTTTCTCTTTTCCTCTCCCTTGAATCACTTTGCTCTTCTTTTTATTCCCGATTGTTTATTTCCTCCCTTCCCTCCCTCCCTTCCTTCCTTCTTCTCTTCCTTCACCCATTTCTCCACTAGAGAAATATTTTAAATATTGTCTACGTATGGGAACCAAACACTAACTCCAAGGGCTACAACAGTGCGCAGGTGAGCATTCACTCTGCAAGCGGCTGACATAGGGTTAGGGGTGTCACACAAGTGCCAGCTGAGGGGCACAGCAGGGCTGAGTGGGCATGATCGGGACTGGTACCCAAGAGCTGGAAAAGGCTCTGTTTCACCTCTGTCCTGGAAGATGCATTGGAGCTTGCAGGAGAAGTCAAGGGGAAGAACGTTCCAGACAGAAGGAACAGCCAGCACCGCAAAGGGGAAATCAGCATAAGTATGAGGGGAGAACTGGTGCTGATGTGGCTGAGGAAATCAGCATAGGACACATCATAAGGACAAGGAGGTGACTCTGGGCCTGGAAGGTGCTGGAAGGGCTGGGGTGGCAAGTGAAACGACCAATCAAAAAAATGAACGAACCAGGGGCTGGGGATTTAGCTCAGCGGCAAAAGCGCCTGCCTGGCAAGCGCAAGGTCGTGAGTTCGGTTCCTGGTACCGGAGAAAAACAAAAAAAACAAAAAAAACAAAACAAAAAAAATGAACGAACCAAAACAACAAAACCGCCAAAGGGCTCCCCACTTCTCTATCACCCAGTCCTGGCCAGCTCTCAGATGGTGTTTCTGGGTCCTCCAGAAGCCTGGTGTCACGATCCAGTGAGGAATCTGCCCTCCGTGATAAGGACGGGGCTGAACTGGGAGGGCGAGGGACCATGACTCACAGGGACCTGAAATAAACCAGCCCTGTAACTCTGGGTGCAAATGAGACTACAGAGCGTCTCCAGAGCTCCCTGCATTTTTAGGATTTTTTTGTTTTGTTTTGGAGTGAGAGAGACCAGTTACTGAGTGAGAGGTCTGCTGAACACTAGAATGTCTTCCCTACGCCTTTTGGCAGGCAAATTACTTCACAGGCCATGAAACGAGTCACTAAACTCTAAACCTGGGGTGAGCAAAGTTGATAAACGTGTCTAGCTACAGAAATAAGAGACCCAGTGCCCAAGCCCATCAGGATGTTCAGACTATGACAATGTAAGAGGAGACCTAGGCTCAGTGCCTGCTCGTGTACGCACAAAACACACACATGCACGTGCACACACACACATGCCCTCCCTCCCTTTCCTTGAAATATCAGTTGCCAACATCAATTCCTAAAATTTCTGATGCTCCAAGGATAAACCAAGGAAAAACAACCAAGAGGTGAGGTTGAAAGGTATTTAAGAAAGTTGGAGGGAAGGGTATTTCAGAATGACAAAAGGAAATAGAAAAAATCAGCCAGTGACAAAGAGGGTCCGGGCTTTAAGGGCTGACCAAACACCTAGGCTGCTGAACTGGAATGTTTGTAATAACGGCTAACACCACATGCAAAGCTGATTAGCTTGTCTGGTGTTAATTAGAACCTTTCCTGGGCATTCTCTCTCACTTCCCATTTCATGACCAGGAATAGGAAAGGCTAATTTTTCAAACTTATGCTAAGTCCAAGAGGTTTAAAGAAAAAATTAGAAGGCAGCCAAGATGAAGAAAAGGCTGTGTAAGGAAAGCTTCTGTCTTCATCCATTTCTGTTATTATAACAAAAGACTCAAAGCCGGGGACTTTATAAAGAAAAAAGTTTCATTGAGGTGCCAGTTCCAGAGGCCCAAGAACACAGGCTTCTGGTGAGGGCCCCATGGCCATAACACAGCACAGCAGACAATATCATGATAAGGAGGTATAGGGAGGGTGGAGGGCTGAGCCATGTGTGTGGACAAGCTCACACGGAAATGGACCAACCTTCTTTTTTATAATAACTGGCTCATTGGGGAATAAATCCACTGCTAGGAGATCTACCCCACTCTGGGAGACCATATTAATCCTGTCATGAGGATGATGGTTATAGTCACCCTCTCAGGGCTCCACTAGTTCCAAAACCTTTTAATACTCTTATGTTGGGGCCAATTCCTAGCACCTTTGGTGAGGAGACACTGTGTTCAAACCACAGCATCTTCCCAGCAGAATATATGCCCTCAGATAAGGACTCTTGGCCAGCAGTAGGCACCAAGTTCTCCAGTCTCCTGCTATAAAAGTGTTCTCTCCAGATAATTCTGTGCAGTTTCTAAAGAAGGAGCATCTTTCAAAATGGCGCCTTCCAATAACCAACAATTCCCAGCGAAAATGAAAGTCACCATCATCTATCAAGGAATTTGGTAACATCTAGAAAACATTTCCCAAGAAAGCTCCCCTGAACCCACACACAATATCATCTTCTTGAGTCAAAATCCAATGCCATCTCTTGCAAAAGCTGCCTCTGGCAAAGAGTTGAAAATAAATCTATCTTGGCAAAACAGGAAATTATTTTAGGGGACAGAATTAAACTTTGGCAGTTTTTCTTCCCTTTCTCAATTGTACTTTTGTTCATAGCTTCAGCTGGGAGAAAGAGAGAGTGCACACATTTAGTTTGGAGTTTATGAGTTCATATTTTATAATTAACGTTGCCAACAGGGGAGTTTGATTAATACCAAGCAGTGGATTTTGAGCAATGTTCCATACAAATTGCCAAATTTAGCAATAAAATAAATTGGTTATGTGAACATAATTAGTAGGATGACTACTTAAAATTCAAAACCGAATGTGAATAATTCCAAATCATCTAAGCCACAAATCCATTATTTGTATAGAAGAGGGAAAGTATAGCGTTTGAGTTTTATTTCACCCTCAACCACAATGTTATTCGCCACCAAGCTGAACATAATGAAACTTCTACAATGGCTTGGGACAATATTTTAGAGCAACCCAAAAACACACACATTGGCATGTGCACGTGCATGCACACACACACACACACACACACACATACACACACACACGGCATATAATAAAGATAAGAAATGCTCAGCTGAATTTTCATTGCAAATGTAAAAATCTCTATCAGAATTTCCAACAAATGCTATGTTCCATTTTTCTAATGTGCCCTACATAGACCTCTGTGCACAATTACATTAGCAGAACTCTTTTCCTTTGTATATTCACAGTACCTTATTGTCACCCTGGACTTCTGTGAGCCTTTGTTGAAGTTCTTTAATTTCTTCTCCCAGATGTTTATTTCGGTCCTGAGAATCTCTCAATAGTTGTGCAAGATTAGCCTGGAAATATCAACACATTATGAAAACACAATTGGAAACAGAGAAACAGATAAATGTGGGGCTTCACTGGGCCTTCTGATGCCAGTGCCCGAGCTCGGCCGACCCCCATGAAGCCCATCAGACTAAACACATTCGTGTGTGCAGCAAGCGTGCAAACCAGAGCGCCACAACTGCATGGGAGGAATGAACCCGGCCTCAATTTAGGGGTGTTCTTTGTTCCCAGAAAGGCCCACATAGGCTGCTTGGGCATGTAATGGAGGAGTCAGTCATACCTGCCCATTCCAAAAATTTCTAAGAGCTCATCACTACAATGTCCATCTTGAAGATGGACAGAGTTCAATTCCACAGTTTAGGCTACAACAAAGGAAAAGCTTTATTTTCTTGTTTAGATCGTTTTTTTTAAAAATTTCCTTCAAATATATATAATTTAATGAGCCTTTCTTTGCTATCTCAATGCCCAAAATTTTCTTGTTATTTTGTTTTGAGATGGCATCTTACTAGGTAGCAGGGGCTAGCCGTAAACTCACGGTGATCCTCCTGTCTCAGCCTCTTGAGCGCTGGAATTACAGACACGCACAACCACACCCAACCCAGAATTTTGGTCCCAATTCTAGGAGGCAGTCAAAAAAGAGGTCGATGATGTGCAAAAAGTTCCAAAGTCAGGATGCAGAGGTGATTCTTCAGTCTCCTGGGCTGGCTCCTACCGACTTATTCCCTTATCTTAGCCCCCTTGGGACCCAGGGGCCGTACCAGTGCTTTCCATTCTCATCTCCACAATCCCACCCTCCCTAGACTCTGCCCCTGCCCAGAGAGGGGCCTCTCCAGCCCACACAGTGGCCCCTAAGCAGCCTCCCTCAATGCAGCTTTGGCCCTGGCTACAGCACGTGCTACAGGCCCCTCTGCCACTCCCATCTAGTTTCTGGTTCTGGGGATCCCTGCTCCCCCAGCTCCACGCTGACACCCAGGGGGGCGGTGTACCTTGCCCTCAGCCTCAGCCCCACACTTCCCGCTCTATGGTGTCACACACTGTCTTTCTCACTTGGCTGATCACACTGTCACCTAGCGGAACAGGGCCGCTGCCAGTGACCGGAAGGCAGAGCCTGGGCTTGGCCCTTGCTCACCTCCACAGGCGTGGCTCCGAGTGCACGTGGACAGCAAGTGTTTGAAAGACTCAGGGTGGATCAGTGAAGAAAGGAGGAAGGAAGCAGGTCTTAGAACACGACGCCTAGGAAGCAGCACACAGGGACTGGGCTCAGTGGCACATGCCAAGAATCCCAGGGGCTCAGGAGGCTGAGACAGGAGGATCATGCGTTCAAGACCAACCCAGAAAACTAAGTAAGATTCTGTCTCAAAATAAAATAAGAAGGGCTGGGATTTAGCTCCGTGGTACAGCACTTGCCTGGCATGAGTGACAATCTGGGTTTAATTCCCAATATTGCAAAAGTCAAAAACCACAAACAAAAGCATGGTTTTGGGGTGAACGGATGGTCTTGTGCTCCACAGGTGAGTTGAAAACTCAGAGATCACCGGGGCACATGCCCGGGTTTGGGACGGGCTGGCAGGCGGCTTTGGTGGTGTATGTTGGCTCATGGACTGGTCTGGGAGGATGCCTACAGTAGGAGATGGGGATCCTGAAGACCGTTTCATAGGTTCCCCTCATGCTACAGCTGTTCTACCCAAACCCAGAGGCACTGGGGAACCAGTCCCCTGCAGCAGCTGAATCTTTAAAGACTTCAGTGCTGATGCTTTGGGGACCACTTAATTCCGCTGGGTACTGAAAGAACAAAGAGGAAGGAAGAGAAAGATGAACACTGGCTCCCTTTGCCTCTTCCCTTTCTCACTCCCCAGGTAGGGACGTCCTGTCATCTCCCCAGCTTCCTCACGCTCACCTCCTTGCATCCCCACACACGCCAGGCCTGGTGCCACCTCAGCACAGGCACCGTCCCCACTTTCAGGGACCTTCTCCCCCAGCTTCCTGGCCTCTTCCAGGCCCTTGTGTGGGGGCCGCCATCCAGCAGGGCCCACCTGGACCACCGCATTTCACACGGCACCTTCCTCTCCGTCGCTGTTCCTATTTTCCAGAGCGCGTGCCATCTTTTAACATACCATATAATTTACTTCATGGTTTACTGCTTACTGTTTATTTCCTGTCTCGCTCTCCTTGCTAAAATGTAAGTTCCATGAAGGGCAAGGAACTTTGTTCTCTCCACTGACCTCTCTGGAGCACCTAGTAGATGCCCCATAATATTAAAACAAGAGACAGGGAGCTGTCTGGAGGTGACGGTCTCAGCCTAAGGGAGGATCTGGGAAAGCAGGCACAAGTGCTAACGACTGAAATCTGGGTCCAGCACCGGGTATGGCAAGAGAAAAACGCTCATCCGCATGGCCCGCCAGACCATCTCCTCCAGGAACTATGAGAGTTCTTAGGTGACACAACCCAATGTTTCAGCCCCACATTTGTAAAACTCATTATCTATAATAGCTGAGTTCCAGATCTCCCAGATTTCTGTTTCCATCAGATAAAAAGTGGTGGTGGGGGAAAAGAACTAATTTCATAAGAGACAGTAATGAGGAACAATGAGAACATCTCTAGGAGGAATGAGGAAGACCAAATTGCCTCCTGGTTCAGCCACTAACTGGGCTGGGTGACCTTGCGTGAGATCCTTAACTTTGAGCTCTCCTTCTGTACAGTGGTGCAAACAAAGCATATTTCACATGGCAACCAGTCCCTTCAGTTAAATAGTGAGCACAGAGCACTTCCCTGGGGTCTTGCACACAGCAGGTGCTGGCTAAAGACTGGTTACCTCCCCCGACCGTGTCCTTTCCAACTCCGGTGCAGCACTCGGTGGACAGAGCTGTGTGCATGTGGCCTTGGACTCAGATGGCTCCTTTGTGAGCCCGGCCCTTCCTTTTCATTTTTTATACAACAAATATTTACTAAGTGCCTACTATGTGCCAGACACTGTCAGCTCTGGCCATAGAGCAGTGAACAATATAGACAAAACCCCTTGCCCTTGGAAGCTTACATCTAATTGAGCACATTGCATTACTTACATTATACTACAGTAGAGGAAAATGACTCAGGGTGCTGGCTATGAAGGGCTCTGGAAAGAAATGTAGCAGGTAAAGGGAACTGAGTGTGTGGAGGAGACTGCCACGTTTGAACCACGACTTCCAAAAGGAGAAAATGCCTTCAGGCATCTTGAGGAAAGTTTCAGGGGGCAGAAAGGCAAATGGACTTCCATCTGTCCTTCTGCCCCAACTCATCACAGGCTGGCTCCAGGGACTGTGCTGAAGTCCGGAGGTGGCTTAGTTTTTGTTTGATGTCTCCTGGTTCCCTCCCTCCCACCCACCTCTCTCTTTTCTGAACACAGAGATCTAGAAGGAGTGACCTCTTTCCTCCACAGAACTCCAGATGTCCCCAGATGTTAGCTGTCCTGTAGAAACAAATACAACCGCTCCCTACCATATGGAAGGACAGTAACGACGGACAGGCAGGTGTGGCCGCCCCGGGAAGGAGCCCTATACCAGAGCCTGCCATGGGCAGATCTCAGCCTCACCACCTGGGGAGAGGAGTGCTGTTTCCCTGCACAGACCAGGACCGATACTTCTAAAACTAACCGGGAAAACTTAAGGAAAAGCCAAAAAAGAAAAAAATTTGCTATTTCCCTAACCTTCCCTTTTTGAATCAATAATGGTTTAAGTCCCTGTGAGGAAGGATTGAGAAGACCCTGGCACTCACTACTCCAGATGGTAAACCACTAAGTGCAGGACATAAACCCAAACAACTCAGTCTACCAGTTGTGAAAGACCAGTCATCCTGCTCCAATCCATCACTGATCAATACTTTTGTAAAATGCAATAAACAAGAATCACTAGGAAAATAAATTTAAGAAGACATCAAGATAAAACCCCAAGTGTTTATGGTTAGATTCAACACACATAAAACCATGTTGTCAGATTGCTATAAAAATCTGAGTGCTCACTTTCAATTCCTGTACCCATCTCGTCACACACCAGAAGCAATGAGGCTACAGCCTGACACTAGGCCTTGGATCTCCCTCTAGAAACTGTCCTGGCTGGGTGATGCCCTCGGTATTTGGTCAGGAGAGCGGGGAGCAGAGCAGACACTGAGCAGAAACACCAGTCAGAGATTCCCGAGAAACCTGGGGACTGGGCCGGCTGTTTTAGGAAATGTGGATTTAGAGACCTAGGGCTGTGATTTTCAAACATTATTTACTCTGCAGCCTGACTGAGAGAAATCCGTCACAATAAAGTCTACCTTATCCACAAAGCAATGGTATATTAAAATTACTGCTCTCACACTAGTTCATGGCACACCTCCCCCCACCCCAGCAGCTTTAAACTTGACCCCTGGGATATAGTAGGAGGAGGAGGTATCACTGCCTTAGAACAACTGGCTAATTTTCTTTTACATTTAACAGGCTGGATTACCTGTCCACACACAATTCTTTTCTATTCAAGCCTTCCACGACCTCAACTCCAAAACAATAACTTTGAAAGCTAGAACACAATGATTCGGATATGCTACCTAATTCTTTGACATACAGTTTAAAGAACCAAAAAAAGAAGAAATAGTACATTTCACGGTGCTCAGAATAGACGAGGAAAGTTCACACAAATTATTCTGACCAAAAATAACACCCATGACTCACACACTCACTCCACCAATCCATCAAGCAAATGTGCAATGCCTGCTTATAATTTATCAGCTATGCAGTGCATTTTTCCTCTGTGTTATGGAGAAGAACTCTGTGACCATCAGTTTAGAATAGCATTACTATGTAAAAGGAATCTCGGAGAAAAGGGTGGAAACTGCCTAGGACTAGACAGCACTTCACAGGGATGGACAACAGAACTGTAAGATTCTTTCCTCTCCATCTCTAGGGCAGGGGCAGTATCAATAGCAAAATGTGGAAAGCTTTACAAAGAAGTCTCTTTCAAATCCACCCAGGGCTGAAATGAAAGGTTGATATTTT